AATAAAGTTAATAAAGAATATCTTAAACTATATTTTTTATAATATAAATAAGTTATAAAAATTAATATTTAAAATTTCATAAAAATTTTTTAAAAACTTATTAAAATTTTAATTATGTAGGCAAATTTGCCTGTGTTACAATTTAAGGGATAGAAAAACTTAAAGAAATCTTGTAAAACAAAATCAAAGAAGAAAAAAAATGGCTAGGAATATAAAACATAATTAAAATTTTGAAAAGATAAACTATAATAATGAACTGTAGGCTATGATTTCAAAATATACTTCAAAACAAATATATGAAAATGAGCAATTTCTTTTATCTTCAAGATTATATCTAAAAATAGTTTTATCTAAGATAGGTATTCAAGTATTATAATCAAAAATTTGTATATAAAAGTTGTTAAACAAATATGTATTCTATATTAAGATTAAATAAACTTTATAAATACTTGTTTGATTATGGAAAAAAAAAATGTAAGTTAGCAATGATTTTTTAATTTAAACTGTAAAATACTTTATATATTGTTTTTTTAAAAAGATATAATATTTTTATTTTTTATAATTTTATTTAAAGAGTTAAAGGTTTAAAATAGTTAATATTACATAATAATAGTTTAATAAACCTAATGAATAATTAGATCATATAGATAATACAGTAATCTTGATATTAAGAATTTAAGAATTATTTACAAATCTGTTAAACTTATTGACAAGTATGTTGCAGCTAGTAAACTGTTTAACTATAGTATAATACTTCTATTGTATTCTTGTATTCTTATAAAAGATTAATAAATTATATTGACTAATAGCTTGATAAGAGTAAAAAAAATAAGATGAAGAATTTAATAATGATTAAGATTTTAGCTTAAAAAAATTATATCTAGAAATTTTTATTTAAAAACAAAGGTTCAGATACGTATATACTGTAGAAACTGCACATTCATACAATTACTTATAATTTTCTATCTTGTTTTTTTCTTAAATAAGATGAAATATAAACAAAAATATTTATTAAATTCTATCAATCGATAAGTTAAACGAGATAAATGAAATTGTAAGATTTAATGTACTTCTGGATATCTTACATATCAATAAAAGGTTGTGTTTAACGCCTATTAAAAAAAGAAATAAATAAATAAATAAAATTGTCAAAATGTCGTATATCTCAAATTCTATTTTTAATTTAATTAATTTAATTCAAAATGATAATAATAATTTCATTTGTTTGACCTTTTTTTTTTGCGTTGGAAATTTTAATTTCGTTGCATTGTCAAAAGTTATCATTATTTATATATACCTTTGATTAAAATTGTGCAAAACAAATAATGACATACATAATGTATATAGTGTATGTCTTAGATGTGGCTTATATTCGATATACAGTATTATGGTTTAAATAAATTAGGTTAAAAAATTTTTTTCATCTCGGAAATAATCTGAATCCATGTTTATATATAGAGACCTATATATAAAACAATGTTTTTCTTGATTAGATAATGCAAGTTACAGAAAAAAATATAAACTACCTTATCAGTTCATCATAACTTAATCAGTCAAAAAAAAAAAAAAAATCGAAAATTGAGGGATCCACACGAGTACTTCGAACAAAAAAAAATGTTTCATTTAAAAAAAACAACGATTATTTTAAGATTTAGCACGGAACTGTCTCATCTTATAAGCGGCAGCATCAGAAAGCACAATCGCCTTAACAATAAATTAATTACGCGTTCGATTTCATTAAAAGCCATTCTTAAAGGGTCCTCAAGTTCGGAGGAAATTCCGAAAGCAAATCAATCAATTTTACAACAAAACAATTTATTCCATCCTTTATCAAAATCACCAATAAAGGAAATAAATAACTACGGTTCGTTAATTAGGAAGTTTGGAAGATGCCCGGGTTGCGAAATTGAAGGGTTGAAAGAAAAACAAAATCGTCCGAGTTACGAATGTCCGGATTGTGGATATCCTACGCATTGTTCTTACGAACATTATAATCTAGATTTAGTTCATCATAAAACTCATGTGTGTGAATTGCTGAGGGAAGCAAATGAAGATGAACATGATCTAAGAAGTGGAAGAAAAATGGTAGAATTCGAATTCCCAGGTAAGCTTCAATGACAATCTCCGGAAATCGAATTGGTCTTTAGGGTGACAAATGTTAAATTATTGCTTTCAGGTCCACAACCACTTGATGAAAAGGTGAATATGTTAACCTGGGACACATTCTTTTATACAAGAGGATTTCCAAGCATGGACTCTCAACGTTCAATAAGGCACGTATCTAAATCGTTGACATACCCAATAACGATAGCATCAGTCTTACACGAGCAAAGTCCATACACTACCCGTTATCGTTTAACGAATGAAGGATTAAAATCATTAACTGGTAGGTGGTTCGTTGTACGCGTGATCCTTTCTTTCGTTTACGCTACTAGCATGCTGAATTGATCGTTTCCCTAAAGCCTTGAGAATAACGTTGCATCCGAAACAAACCGCTTATGACATAAAGACTCTTCAGCCCAAGGAGGTCGTTAGAATCTTTATTCTTGGAGCTCGAGCAGAGGCGCAATTACCATTATACCTATACACACAACTTTCACACCTATTCCCGGCTGTGCCATTTCATATTCACTTTGTAGGTCCAGAGGCCCTTCCAAAAGGAACTGAACCACACACGACACATTATAATCATTGTCTTTCTTTCACGTGGAAAAATTTTATGTATCATGACTATCATGATGCTTTGGTGCCATTTGATCCCTATTTTGATGTATTCTTTCTTTTTAGTCCAGGAATTGGTCAGACTGATGGAAAACAATTGTGGGGAAAAACAATCAAGAAATTGTTGCAAACAAAATGTGCCATTTTCATCACCGGATTTAATGAAGATGATGTGAAAGCCGAGGTAGAAGCCATTGAAAATGATGACACATTGGAATTCGATTGGCTATTAGAACCTGGAGAAAATGTATTTAGGAGCTTGAAAAGTGAGATCAATCTAGAAGATGTGAGAATTCGTGCATATTCTAATTGGGGAATTTTGGGGATAAGGGGAAAAAGATATGATGTACGTACGTACGAGGAGAGGGAGTCTACGGAGGAGGATGACGAAGATGAAGAAAGAAAGGAAATCGAAGAGACCAAGAAATTAGAAGATGGGGAGAAGGACATTAGAAAGGATTGAAAATTTTTTTAAATTTCACGTGTCGCCGAACCTCAGTTTATGTGATGTATGAATACGACAAACAAACCATGTTCACGTGACATTATGGAATTAAGGCCAATCAGGTAAATTGCGAGAATCACGATATTAAAATTAATATCTATTGGTGCATCGAAATACTTTCCGGATGACATTTGACCAGTTTCTCGTAATAAAAGTACAAGTATATTTGCGTATACACCTGTGTTTCAATACACGCCGTCAATGTTACATATACCCTATACATCTTTATTTGTCATACGTTGAAATTACGACCGCGTGTTAATAATGTTAATCTCTTCTTATAATGCCTATATCCATTTATAGTTATAAGGCATTTAATGTAATTTATAAATTGCATCTTTGTGTTCACACATAATTTATCTTACAACCCAAATAGTGAACATGATTACTCAAATGCAGCGCATTCATCCAATCGAGAACTTCGTAGCGACCTAAATAAAACACCAACCATATATGAGCCAAATCTTCCAATCAATTTTGTTATAGTAAGGTCGAAAAGTAAGAAAAGGGCACTGATGAAACTATTATGAAACCTTTGGGCTAAACTATCTTTTTTTTTTTTATCTTTCCTTCTTTCATTAATATTCCCTGGTGCGTTCCTTTACCATTATTAAGCTGCGGCTTCAAGTAAGCTTGCTCTTTCACCCCACATTCCCTTTACTTCCGTCATAAACTTTTCCATTCCAAGACTTTTAAAGTCAAATCCTCTTGGTTACCAAATGACACATACACCTCATTTCAATTTGTAAAAGATAATAGCGGATAGAAAAACATTAATAATATTATTTTTAACTTTATCGTATTTAAAAAACGGGTAAGTACAAAAGTACATAGTTTGAGACCATTTAGACAAATTCCTTGACCTAAAAATTCTCCGGAATTTTTATAAATCACTTTAATAACACCTTGACTTTCCGTCTTAATAACGTTGTAACAGATTTTTAAAATATGCGCTCTATACCATTCCTTGCTTTCATATTCGTTTCTATACTTCTTCCAATCTTGAAAGTAAATGTTGACGCCGATGAGAAAAGATCACCTGTGCTCTATGGTGAATACTGGAAAAAAAGAGATTTAGATACACACTTTCAGAAAAGAGCACCGAAACAACCAAAAAAACAAGTAACAACAGTGGTAGCAGACCCTTCAGATAATAGCGATAATACTCCGGCAGACGTAAAGGACGCAAAAGGTCCTCAACCAATAGCTACAACAAAACCCACTGCGCAACCAAAAAAACAACCGCCACCCGCAACCGTAACCGCCGGAGCCGCAACTAATCCTGTAAATGTCGGAGATACAGTTACCGCTACAAGCGGCATTATTGGACAACCTTCGGATGTATCAGCTCCAGATGGCTCGGATAATCAGTTAAACGGTGAAAAAAAGCCCAAAGGTAAGGAGTCAAATACTCTTCAATTAAAAGTATGTTCTTTTTTTATAATAATAATGACAATAATAATAATTTCTTTTTACAGATGAATCATCATCGCAGGATGGACATGATATTTCAGCGGGTACTACTGTTCCCACTGGTGGCGTTAATGCTGCTGGTATAGTATTGATCGCAACAGTAGGTTGTGTGTTTGTTTTGGCCTTTGGTCTTTTCGCCTTAGTTCGCAAAAAGAAGCGTAAGGAGATGACGGATACAATTGTTGCGACATCGGCCACTGCATGGGAACAACAAAACAATACTTACAAGAAAACCGAAGAAAGCTCCAAAAATACATATACAGTAATTAAAACTTATATTCCAACTTTATCTGATGAACTGGACATTCAACTAGGAGATAAGGTCACCATTCTAGAAGTATATGATGATGGATGGGTACAAGGAATTAATGATACTCGCGGGGGCGTCAAAGGTGTATTCCCTCTCAATTGTGTGGACATGAATGTTACCCCGAACAATAAACGATCAAGTTCTGTAGGGGCGTACACAGTGGTTGACCTTAATTAAGGTTCTATCCATAGAAAGCCAATCTTATTAGGGAAACTTTTCGGCAGATTTTTCAATTGTAAATTTCATCTGCCCCCAAGAATTAATTACTGTATTTTATTAAATCACCAACTTTTATTATTCTAAACCCGAAATTGTAATCAAAAAAATTTTCTCGTTGGAAAAATTCCTGTTCCTGACAAAAAGTTCTCTGTAAGCTTATTCTCATGCCAGCACAAGCAATAGCTATCAAACCCTTTTATAGATTTGCTTAAAGAATAAGGTGGAAAACGGAATGCCGTTCTTATTTACTCTTCCATTCAAGAACTTAGTCAATCTCTATTTATCATAAATCGTCAATTTTGTACTTATTTTAAATCTGTTCTGTTTTTATTCTCAATCAAAAGGACAATAGATTACATACAAGGAATTGGGCATTATTTTTTATCAATAATAATTCGCATAATTTATCTATCTAATTACAATCACTTTGGCGAGAATGTTTTTTTTTTTGCAATTTGCATTTCCATATAAAATTTATTTTTAGAAGCATTATATACTAAAATGGGAGTTTGAAACGATTTTTTTTTACTCTTAGTTTCATTAGTTCACATACTGTATTTGGTTATATACAAAAAAAGAAAAATGACCGGGAAATTGAATAAAAATAGTTGGTGTAAGTACTCAAAGAAACCAGCTGACGGAAACATGCATACCCTGAATCGAATTTCTTTGTAATACTGTAATACTGATGGATTCCTTTTTCTAACTTGGAATTTTACCACTGTGCATTACAAATAATTGATTGGATAGAAAACCTTACAAACTGCATATAACAATTTATTAAAAAATACATGATACGTACAATATATTTGTAAAGAAATTTTTTTATTTTTATTAATATACAATCAATCATATAATATTAATTTATTACGTAATATATATTTTTTGAAATATTGTTATTTTAAATAAATTGTTATAACAAATAATTAGTTTAAAAAACTTTTTTTTAAATTTTTTTTCAAGAAAATTTTTTATGTTAAATAAAATTAACTAACTATTCTTTTTTTATAATATAAAAGTTTCAATAATAGATTTAATATATTTTTAAATTAATTTGATTTTAATAAATTTAATTATACTTGATTAAATATTTAAACTAATTTAAAAATATTTAATTCTTGATTTATTTATAATTAATAAACTTCTATTTCTGAATCAAAAGAACTTTTGATTTATATTCTTATCTATGTATAATATAAATAAAAAATAATTATATGATATATCAATAACTAACTGATAAAATAAGATAAAAATTTATTTTAATATAATTAAAAAATATAAAAATAAGTTTACTTAATAAAGTTTTTAAAAACATATTAAAATTTTATTAAAATTTAATTTAAATAGATTTTTTTAAAAAATAATTTATTTTATTTATTTATTTACAGTTGAATCTTATTATATCAAACTTTATTATATTAAAAGATTAAGTAAAAAATTCACTATATTGAAGGTAAGCATAGAAATATCTATAGTAAATTTAATTTATTATATTAAATTTACTAATTAAATTACATACCAAATTTCTTAAAATTTTTATCTTATAGTTTCAACCTATTTATTATAATAAAATTTAATTATATATATATATATTTTATAGTAGAATATTATCTAATATAAATCTTTATTAAATTAACTTCAATTTTTGATACATCAAATATCTTCTATTATATTATAATAGTTAAATACTAACCTATCTATTTGATATTTAACAATATATTAATCACTTTTGAAATAAGTTACATATTTTTGAAGGGATTATTTATATAAGAGATAAAAGTTCTATCACTAGTTTAAACTATACATGTTTTCTTATTACTATAAAAGAAAATTTGATTGATAATATGATTCCAAATTAAATACGATTTCCAATTACTTACTAATTGTTACTTAGTAATACAAACATATTACGGTTTTTAAAAAATGTTTGAATTAAATACAAACATATATATAATTTAAACTACAGTGGATTATCAAAAAGATCCAGTCAATTTATTTTTTTAATTTTTTTTAATATACTGTATATATAATACAGGTTTTTTTTTATTATTTACATTAAATAAACTCGTGATTTGATTATAAACACGATAGCTATAAATATGGATAAACCTTTATTCTTAAATCAGCATGGCACAATCTTATACAGGCACACTCAAGGTGATACAAGTCGAACTATTGCCAACAGGCTAGGATGTGAAAAAAGTATAGTTAACGACATCATTAAACACTCTAAAAAAACTGGAACAGTCATTTCAAATAAATTACCAGGCAAACTCCTGCTTCTTATCTCTCTTGATCAAGCCCAACTTAAGAATTTTATCACAAACAACAAAGAAAATAATCGCTGTTTGTTTGTCACAAAAATTAGAAATGTCTGGTTAGCACATACTAAAAAAATTATATCTACTATCACTATTAAATGGAATCTAAAAAAAATAGAACTTTGATTTTGCAAGCCCTGCCTGAAACCATATATCTTTGAAACGAACTGCAAAAAATGTTTAAAATTTACCCTCCAACATAAACATTGGAAGCTCTGGCAATAGAAAAGAATTTTATTTTCAGACAAATCCACATTTACCTTATTCCAACGTAGTGATCAAATTTGACAAAAAGCAAATGAAGAACTTAAGCTATCCTGTATTTCTGCTTCAGCGAAATACAGTCCAAACCTAATATTCTGGAGGTGTTTCGCTTATGGTGGCTTAGGTTCTATTGTTCTTCTCTATGGATCAGTTACTGGTGTTACATATACTAAAATCGTTAAAAAATATGTCATATCCACCATGCAAAAATTTTTTTTATACTGTGGTATTTTTCAAAAGAATAATGCAACGCTGCATAAGTCGAAAGTCGCCACAGTCATTTGTGAAGCTCACAGAATTAAAAAATTATCATGGCCTCCTAGAGTCCTGACCTGAATCCTATAGAGAATTTATGATATGAAATAAAAGAAGCAATTCATAAAAAATTACCTGCCTTGTCAAACCTTAAAGAATTAAAAAAATATATAAAACATGCATGGAGAGATCTTCTGTTCGAATATTATTAAAGACTAATTGATAGCATATCCAATCGAGTCAATACAGTTATTGTCACAAATGGATATCATACGAAATATTAATAATAAAAATTATAGATAGAAGTTTAATAAATAAAAAAATAAAAAAAATTTTATTTTTTATTTTTTTAAGTTAAAAAATTTTATTATTTAAAAGTGGTCAAATCTTTTTGATGACTTACTATATCTAACCCATTAGTTTAATTTATATAAAGACAATAGATTGTTATTAACTACTTATATATAGGATTCCTAATAATACTACTTTAATATTATTTTAATATCAATTCAATATCTAAATTTACTATAAATTTATAAGAGTAAGTCATAATCTATATATTAAATTTACTATAGATCAGTAATATTTTAATATTAGTTCAATATCAGTTTGATACTTTTTGAAGCCCTATCTATATAAGTTATTTATTATATTATATTTTTTTACTTATATAGCAGTTTTGATTTTGAGTTTTAAACAAAATCTGATTAAATAATTGGAAAGTATTAATTATTTGAAAGAAATAAACTAATTTCAGTTTTTGATCAAATAAAAATATTAAAAAATTTTAAATAGCATAGCAACTGTTACTATAATATAATTAAATTTAAGAATTGACTTAAAACAAACAATAGATTTATCAACTCTATTTAAGTATATGTTTTGGAAATTATTTGATTTAGCAAGTACAGTAGTATAAACTTTTCATCTTGAAACTCATTACTAGAACTATAGACTGAAGAGTGGCAATTAATTTACTTTAAAATGACTTGAAAGTAAAGATGGGTCTCTAAATTAAAAACAAAGGCATAATTTAAATATCCCTTACTATTAAAAAAGTTTTTTTTTTAATATAAGATTAAAAAAAAACTACATACAAATGTTTTTTACAATTTAAGCCATTTAATCCAAGTGTTTTTTGAATTATGTTTCTATTAAAGTAATGAATAAATAATTATGTCCCTTCAAAAGAGATATAATTGATCTGTGAAATTTTATATGCTAAATAGTTTAGGGACCTATTCTTACTTGAAAGAATATATTTTGATTTTAGTATAAACTAAAATTAATAATGTTGTAAAAAAAATTCAAATATAAAGTAATTTGTTAAAAGGATATTGGACATAAAGTAGAATTGAAATTTCTTTTTTTTTTTTTAGAGGCAAAGTGCATTATATACGTCAATTTTTTATTAACTTATAAAACAAAGTTACAATCATTACATAAAGAATTTGATTAACTATTTCTAGCTATTCTAATATTAGCGTTACCTCTAACTAATCTGATTGTATCAACTTATACTAAGTAGGTGGATTCGTATGTCAGGTGTGGACTATTCAAAGGGCATATACCTATTAACTGTTACTAGGATCCTTATCACTTTCTCATCTCCGGCTCATACTTTTGTGGTATTTATAGGCTTACTTCTTTACACTTTCTAGTAAATGCTCCAAGAGTTTTCTTAAGGTTGGAACAGACTACCAAATCTGGGGGTTTTCATCAAGTGGGACGCGACTCCTAAATCTCCCAGTAGATATTTCCTAAGGCTCTTAGTTGGTGTAAGCTACCAAACCTAGGGGCACGAATGCCAAGCAAGATGCAACTTCTGTAAAATGGCCTTGAACGTTCCTTCATGCCAGCAATGTTCATACAGTAATTATCTTCAAAGTTGTCTAATCGAGTTAGCAGGTTTTCTTTTATAGTTTCATGAACTATAGGTGAAGGAAAACAACCAGTGTGGAAACTGGAAAATGCACCAAACGTAGTGTGATCATCATAGCACCAACCAAATGATCGATGCGCCATGACACCTTAACTAGAGATCACAATCTCAACATCTACTGGATCAGTATATAAAATGGCTTTGCATGAGAAACAGCACATATTAGGATATGGTGCCAGATATTATGTGATACTGTTCAACTGCCTTCACTTGGAGTTGAACCAGTATCTTGTGATCTGACCTGTAGAGCACTAACCACTGTACTAAAGACCCACAGATTTTAAAATTGAAATTTCTTTTTTTTTTTTTTTTATAGTAGAATGTGCGCATGTAATCTTTATTGATATATTATATTTAGATAGACACCAAGTGTTTTCTACAAATTAATCGTAATGGTTTTTGAATAAAGTTGTATTACAACTTTTATGTCTTCTACAGTTAATTTGCAGCTTAACACTGCATTAGTACATATATTTCTATAAGACTAGCTATGTTAACCACTAATATAATCTGGCTATGCGTTCAACTATTATGTAGATATGTTTACACTCCAGGTTGGACTTTTGCAGGGGGGAATTCTATCACTAGTTTAAATCCACCTAAACCTGCTGATCCATTATTGCAAGAAGTAAGTTATTATGGAATATTATTATAGAGACTAACACCAGTATTCCAGTCATTGTTATCACCAATCCTCAAGTTGTGCCACTAGCATAGCATAGCACTACTGTTTTTACCACCTGTGGAACTGGCATCCTTGCTTGAATTCCGATTTAATCTTGTAGGCCCTCACTAGATGCACTTTGCTTGACGATTTTTGCCTAGATTCTTACCACCTGTGGCTAATGCCTTGCCCTTTGGCTATATTATTAAGTCCCTTGTAGGATACCATATTGGGATAGACCTACAAGCTCCATATTGGGATAGATTGGCTTAGAGTTAATCTCTTTTTGTCTTTTTGCATGGAGTCTGCCATGCCAGGGGGGTGTTGGGTGATTGGATATGACATGAGCAAGGAACCTGTTGAAACCTGTTTACGAAGGATTCTTTTTATAGTCTCGTGGACTATAGGGGAGAGAAGCGACCTGTAGAAACTGGGAAATGTACCAAACGTAGTACAATCATCGTAACACCAACCAAACAATCGACGCACCACAACACCTTAACTGGAGATCACAATCTCAACATCCACTGAATCAGTGTATTAGACGGCTTTGCATAAGAAACAGCACATATTAGGTTATGGTGTCAGATATCATGTGATACTGTTCAACTGCCTTCTATGGAGTTGAACCGGTATCTTGTAATCTGACCTATAGAGCACTAACCACTGTGCTATGGACCCACAGGTCTTAAAATTGAAATTTCTTAAAGATACCAATATTTAAT